CAAAGGCTTTTGCATAGTCAATGAAACAGAAGTAGATGTTTTTCTGGAACTCTCATGCTTTTTCCATGATCCAGCAAATTTATTCAGTCTATATGCTGAATATATATATTGGATGCTGTGGAGAATAAATCTGTACCTTCTGCCCTTCATGTATTGGGAGACTGTTGTGTTTCCCCTTAGCCTTTTCTTTTTAGGCTAATCATACCAAATTTCTTTAAGTGCTCTTCATAGGAGTTAGCCTCCAAGCCCCTTCCCATCCTTATCCCTCTTCTCTGCATTTTTTCCAGTTCCTCAGCATCTGTTTTGTATTATGGCGACCAGAACTGGATTTGATTGATCAACCAAAAAGAGTTACTTTAAAACAGGTTATGAGCAATGATCACTGTTACAATACGTTCCCCGCCAATGATACTGGAGATGAACCTTTGGACAGAAATTCTTTTTCTAGTATCGATCAGTTGCATACTGGATGCCTGGAAAAACTACTATTATAACTGTTCAGCAATGCAATGATGCAAGTCACATAACTGTAAGTATCCACTATCTGTGGATAAGCCAGGAAGAGCAATGTTTCTTGTGGTGATGATTTGCTGTGGGGAAGCACATAGCATTTAGTTCTGTTGTTTTCTTGATCAACATGAATAATTTTGGAGTTGTGAGTATAACAAGCTAAACAGTTTCTACAAAAGAATTTATATGAATTTTGTGACCTTCTCCCACATTACATCAACATAGACCAAATCCTTATGCTGTTTTGAAAGATTGTCAGCTATACTTATTTTTAATTTGTGCCTGTTGTATTAGTTATAATATAATCCAGACATCCATTAATGAATCATTTGGGTTTCATAAAAACAAATTCATTGTCCCAGTACAGTACAGTGAGTTCAAGCTACATGATTTTTTTTTGAAGTACATATGCTATATATGGTGAAACAGCCACTAGATGGTGCATATTTATTATGCAACTAAATCCTGATCATTATAAGAGGATGCTCAAGTCTTTCCTCTGTTTGGCAGGTATTATAATTGGAATTAAAAGCTGTGGTTCTTTTTCCTAAAATGAAGCTAACACAGGGATTATTTGATTTCCCACAATGTTGGTAGCCCTCTTCATCTGAGCTGTACATCCTGTACATCCAATCAGGTTGAGCACGTAGCAAGGTTTGATTAATTCTTCATGAATTCATTAGGATGCAAATAGAATTTGCCTCACAATCATATTTTGCTTAGTGGGGTCTACAATTATGAGAATCCTATTTATATTTAAATGAATTACAAGTAGAACCTTCAGATCATGCTGCTTAATATTGTAAGATCTGAAGCTGATGAGATTTTTGTGCAGGGAGAATGTAGAAGGTAATGTCAATTGCCGCGTGCATGAAGAGGGCTATGTTTTAAGAAACTCTTTTTTCAGTTGGGCTACCCAGAATGTTATGAAAAATAATAACTTAATATTAAAAGACACAAATCTGTTGTGAGATAGAAATGCAAGGAAAAAATATTACCATGTAAATTCATAGGTGGCATCAATGTAACTACTGCACCCAAACACTAGGGATAACCAATGAAGTATCTTCCAGATATTTTGGGCTAAAGCACTGCTGCTGGTCAGGGTAATAGGCCTAGTGTCCTAGGAGGCCTCAAGCTGCCTACTACTGCTGTTTTGCATACAAAGAATGTATTTTAAGATTTTTCCAAATATTTCTTGGTTAACTGGGTACATTCATGTGTATCATTTGTGAGCGCTGTCAAAATGCTGTTTTTTTA